AAAGTGTTGAACGTTCTATTGTTGCTTCACCCAATTCCTCTGTTGATAGAGAGATAGAGATATATTTGTAATCAACAAAGCAACATGTTAAGTCTACACATATCCAATGATTACAATAACATAAAACTTTTTTGGATGAATTGGCAGAGATCAGTTTCCATCACTAAGAGAAAACTTTAACTGAAATGAAAGACACACTTTCTTTTGGGGAGCCCATTGTTTTGTGAAATTGTGTAGCAGGATTGTGTAGCAAGAGATACAGGAACCAAAAGGAGGCACAGCTGTTAATTGAAACATTATGTTGTGACTGTTCCTGATTAAAATATAGATGGTCTTATGTTTCTTTCAGTAATAAAAATAAATGGAAGTTTTTAATGAACGCCTCTGGAAGCAGAATGTAACAGAAAGGAATGTAACTGATATTTAACATGTGAGTCAAACCAAACCAAAATCTGGTTTGCGTATATGTGTATTTATTAAATTACCAGCTACAGGTTTTGGTTTAACAAGCTGTGCAAACTGGGCCAATTGTGAATTAGTTTAACTGTGGCTGGGTTCACACATTGCATTCAGCCATAAATGTCTTAACCATGACATGAATATGACGCCATTTGCTATTTTCCCATAGCATGCTAAGCCATAAACAAATGAGCCATATTCTGACTTCCTGTGATGTGGGGATTATTAAGCCTTTATGTCTGTGTAAATGTGAAGTCATCACCAAGAATTCTTTAAGAGTCCAGGGATAGACATTCGACAAAAACTGAGCCCCGGTGAAGCTATGACAGGCCAGAAGTAGCCCATGGCTTGGAATTTGTATACAGCTGTGCACTAAGATTTCTGCTTTGAGATGTGCCCTTCATCTCAGCCAACAAAATGCCTGCAGTGGGCTTGGCCAGAGAGTAACACAACAATATTGTATTCTTGCTGGACTTCCCAAAAGATGTTGAATTAAATAGATGTTGAATTAGCTATGTGATTTGGTCTATCAGAGGTGTTCTTTCATGACAGCAAGCAGATGCCTGGATGTGATGGTTGACACGTATCATTGTACATTTCAAATCTATCAGAAGAACTGTCTGGCATGTGAAGAATAAAATTCCTTTCAAAATCAAGCTTGACAAATATCTTCTCCCCACCCACAAATGCAAGAGAAAGGTGTTTTAAAAAATGCAATGCAGCAAGAGAGAAAAGATGAGGACAAAATGAGCGGTGTGACAAACTAAAGAGATTAATTCTTCATAGTTGTTGTTTGACCTCACCACTGCTGGATTGGGATCGACAACTCAGCCATGCCAAAAGCTAAAACAGAGTTTTTAAAAAGGGGAGAAGAAAGAAAATGGGTGGATTTACCAAATGCATATAATTTCAAGATTCTTTTATTCAGTTGATTATTTACTCAGTTGCAGCTGTTAAGAAGTCAATCTTGAAGAAAGCGGTTTGTCAAA